GTTTGGGGGTAGGGGGTTGGGGATAAGGGTAAAAAATTATTTGAAATTAAAAAAATAAGAAAATTTTAATTTATTTTTTTTGGATGTGGAGGGTTGGGGTAGGGTAAGAAAAAAAATATTGTAATTTTAGGATGAAGTAGGCTTTTGGAAAATGTTTTCCTTTATTTTTTAAGGGAAGTCATTTTTCTTAAATTTGAGGAAATGAAGTTGATTTGAAAAATATTTTCCAAAACATTTAATCCAACTAAATTTGGAAAAATTGGAAATGTTTTCCTTCATACCAAACACACCCTAAAAGATGTACTAGTTTAATGAACTCAACAGGGAAATCATCATGGTACAAAAGATAGTTACCTGGAAATGTATAAAAAACCTAGTTTTAGTATCTCCGTATAACGTTGGGTCCACCTAAAGCACGAAACAGAGATATTATATTATAGTTATAAATATTGAGGATTTTCTAACAAATTTTCTAATATACATCTTAAAAACACAATATTCAATGGTTAACACACATCCTTCTTCCACAAAATGATAGAATAATGGAATAAAAAAAAATGATATAAACCTACTCTCCAACCAACTTGTAAGATATCTGATCCTTTGTGAATTTTTAGTCGAGATCCACTGTGTTGTTGTCCTTTAACTTGAGGATTGTACAAAGCAGTATCCATTCCCGCTCCCGCAAACTTGCTATTTGGATTATATGGAATCTGAGCTATTGCAACCTAAATAAAAAAAAGTTAATTATTTTTAGTAAATCTTACAGAGTACCCAAATTAACCTAAGAATAACTTGTTCCTTTATTACTTCAAATCCAATTAAATAAAACATGGAAATCAGAAGAACATTTTTATAGACATATACCACCTTATATCCTTGTGAAGATATGTATCTTCCATTTGGCTCACTATTATTGTTGCTCTGCATTAGATAATGAACTTATGTTTAGATTTGAAATATTCAAGATATATAACAGTAAATTGGCATAAATCATCTTACAACATCATATTCATCGACGAATGTGACATCTTCTGGCGGGGGCATATTTCTTAATCTTATAAGGTCATCCTTTGTAATTCTCTTAACAGGAATAGTTCCAAAAGGACATCCTCCATCTTTTGACCATATTGTCGATGACCTATTAGTTGCCGATGAAAAAGTTGAATCTTTATTAATTCTTGATAAAGTAGGTTTCATCTGTTTAATCAAATATTTAATTAATTACATGTCAATAATATAATATCCATATACAAAATGATAATGAAATGAAAAGAGAGTAGAGATATGCCTCAGGGTGAAAATTATGGTCCTTCAACAACGGGTGATCAAATGCACATTGTTTGTAGAAATCTACACAGTCGTATGTATCTCCATATTTAGTCTGTAAACAATCAAATATTAATAAAATTAGTAGCCTAAGTTACAACAAGATGTACCTTTTAAACACAAAACAATCTCATGAGAACAATTGTTAGTAAATGGTAACACTACTGCCTTTTAAAAAAAATAAGGAAAAATTCTCAAATATGCTATTAAAATTTGAGAAAAAACTTATCTAGGTCATTCCTTAAAATTTTTGTTCATTTATGCTATTTTCGTTTGAGAAAAGGTTCATCTATGTCATGGCTTGTTAATGAAAAATAGCTCAATAAGTGTGTCCTAAGCCATTGTTATGCCCTTATCTCCAATTGCAAGAGAAAATGTAAAAATTGCACTTAATCCGTTTTAGTTCATTTGTCTGATATGACTTAACAAGGAGTTTTAAAAGTAATTTTGTTCTGAATGTTGTGATCTTAAATTAAAGATATATAGAATGTATCAAACTGCTTTTAAATCTTGTGGTTTAAACTTGTTATGTGAAAAAATAAAATAAAATAACATAGTTTCTAGAAAAGGAAGAATCATTCTTCGTAAACAAACTAAAAAAATAAGACAAACAAACCGAATCGGACTAACCTGTTCAATCTTCAACTACAACAAAAGTTTACACAGAAGGAAATGGAAGGTTCTCCATTTCCCAAAAATCATGTGACAAACTAATGTTTTTTCTCAAATACAAATACAAAAATGATATTGTCTAATAAAATGTCTTTAGATACTTACAAGTACAATAAAATAAATATTTGAAAGAAAAAATACCTTTACTGTTTTGACTGCTGGCTTGTTTAAACTTTTCAGTTGTTTCTCTAACTCCGCATCCTCTAATTTGGATAGCTTCTTTTGTCCTTCCATCCCATTATAACTCAACAGAAAATATAACACTAATAACGTTTGTTGAACAGTTCTTTGATGCATCTTAGGTGTTTTGATTAAATTAGATTTATTAATACAACATGAAAGCTCAACACTGAATTTGATTTGCTAGGTGTAAGTATTGATATCTTGGCTACAATAAGGAAGCATTTTTTTAATATATAGAGATATGGAAAAGGCTAAGTTGACTATTGTGTACAAGATACTGACTATATGTGTAGTCTTTGAACTACATTTGACCATATTGAAAAAAAATTGTTTAATAAATGTTGATTGCCCGTTTGTAATTAATATCCAAAATAATAATTAACTTCATTTGACCAAATCTAAAAAGACTTTGAATGGTTTTTTATTGTTCATAACTACATAATAAAATATTGAAAATACTTTTGACCATATGACCAAATATGTTGTTGAGTCCGGAACCAAAATTAGATTTATTTTGAAAAAATAATAATTGAAAAAGAACTAAACTAATGTGCAAAAAAAAAGAATAATTAAAAGTTGATGGCCGTTTTTGAACCTTTATTCTCGATGAATTTAAATAAAATTGAGAATTCCTCAACAATCACAAATGTGTAAATATTGTACAAGTAATACTCGTAACGGTTGGACTAAAAATTTAGGAAAAATCATGTAATTAGTCAAAAACATCATGTATTAGGTAATTCATGCACTTGTACTTAGTTTCCCACATCTCTATATAGTTATCGATATATCAGATTAAAAATAAAATAAAATGATTTTAGGGATTTACAAGTACAATGAAACCCAAAATAAAAAAAAATCCTTTACTGTTATAATTATTGAATTCTTCAAAAAAAAAATTTAGTTATTTCTCTAATTTTGTATCATCATTAACTCAAAAGAAAATATAACATCAACAACGTTTATTGAATAATTTCTTGATGCATTCTGAATTCATTTGTTTGTAAATGAATGACTAATTAACAGACATGAAAGATCGATACTGAATTTGATTTGCTAGGTTAATGATACTATGAGGAAGATGTATTATATAAAAATGTATAAAAAAACTAAATTGACTATACCAAAACTAAAAAATAATTTTTTATTTAATAAATGTTTATTTGCTCATTTATAACTAATATCCAAAATAATAATCTGAATATAGATTTTAGTAGAATTAATTGAATCAACAATTATTTATTGTTGATGAAGATTGATGATTTATATCTGCATAAGATTCAAAAATGATTTTTGATCATATGACTAAATCCATCGGTGTTCGACTTTGAAACCAAATTGATTAAAAATAATAATTTAATCAGAGGTTTTTTTTATTCGAGTCCTTAGAAATGGAAAAAAAGTGGTTGGTAGCGTTGAGACTTGTGAGTCACTGTAACACGCGAATTCGAATTAAGAAAGTTACAGTTCAATATCTTGTGACTTGTATGATCTACTTTACAAAATATGTACACAATGTATAGATTAAATATACATATATTTTACATATAATATAATATGCATACCATATATACATAATCGGTGTATATCTATCTATCTATCTATCTATATATATATATATATATATATATAGGCAAATATCTATTCGAATTTAATTGAACCCATATATAAATATCGAACACGTGATTATAAAATAAAAAAAACTTAATTACTTGTCTACTTTAAATAATAGAACGTGATTATCTTATACATGTGTCCGAATCAGCCTAATTATATAGGATCTGGCTCCTCTCCATTTCCCCTCCCTCCATTTTTCCTAAGTTCTTGCTTGGATGTGAGACACATGGCATAGATAAAAAAATCAATGGCTAAGATTAAATTGATTAAATTAAGATTTCTAATTATGATTTAGATAATTAATATTTCATAAGAAAAATAATAATACCATAATCATAAGTCATAATAATATATTATCTTGTCCATAAATATATTATAAAAAAATTTCTCCTTTCTATTTTTTTTTTCCTAGGAGTATTTATCTTCCGTTTGTTTTTTTTTTTAAAAAAAATTGAGTAAGTCTTAGATAGCAATTGTGAACTTTCTCTTTGAAATTAGTTTACATATAATTAATAGAAAAAAATACTCGCATGGAAAAAATAATTAGAAAAAGAAAAATTATTTTATAATATATTTATGAACAAAAACAGAAGATAATACTAGTAAGAAAAAGATTAGAAAATTTTCTTTCTTATAATAATATATTTATGGACAAGATAATATATTGTTATGATTGTGGTATTGTCATTTTTCTTATGAAATATTAATTATCTAAATCATAATTAAAATCTTATTTTTATTCAATTAAATCTTAACCATTAATTTTTACCTATGTCATGTGTCTCACATCCAAGCAAGAACTTGGGGAAAATGGAGGGAAGGAAAATGAAGAGGAGCTGGATCCAATTATATAAACACATGATGTTTTACAATTGGCAGTATGAAGACACATAATCATAATTAGTACTAATTAATTATTCTAACTAACAAATATTCTAAGTTGGATTGTTTGGGTCACTTCTTCTATAATAGGAAAGAAAATATTCCAAATCATGAAAAAAAAAATAGAAGAAAATTGTTCCTATTTCATATGTTCTATACCTTTAATTTGAATGTTATGTCGCCTTTCAAAGAATTGCAAAGGGAAAAAAAAACAATTTCTTTATTTTTTTTCTTGACTACATATATAGAAAGTGCTATCAATTTTGAGAAATATACTTGACGAATTGTTGCAATCAACTTTATATAATTAAGATCACTCCAAACAACAATTGGATCACATGAGTACACGATTCCTTAGACTTTGCGTGAATTTAGGACATGTAATGATAAGTTAGTTAGTTCAATTGGAAGCTAAAAAAAATCATAAGAGGAATATAAAGGTCATTGGTTCGAATTGTGAAATCATCAGGATATGCAGCCTATATTAGTTATGGTTGTGGAAAGGGTGTTTATCCAAACTTCCTTTGACAATATAAGGTCATAATAATTTTTACTTGCATATAGTAGATGATGAATTTTCTTGACGAAAATCTTGTCTGTCCGCTATTGTACATTACATTTACACCTCTTGAAGTACGTCCCTTCCTTCAGGGGCGTAGGCACATGTATGCCAGGGTGTCCCCCTTCGTCGGAAAAAAATATCACATATACAAGTAATTGATATATGAAATGATTAAATAACATATTTTGGATATCATTGATATAATAGGTTGTTATGGCCTAGTGGTTTAAGATGTCTTGAATGTGTGTTTAGACATCTTTAATGAGTCAGAACTTGTGTGTTCAAATCTCACTTGTAACAATTTCTTCCCCTTTTAAAAAGAGCTTTTGTTGTTTAATTTTTTACCCTCTTCATGAAATTTTTTATTCCGGCACCGCCTTTCTTAGACTTTGAGTGAATGTGCACGACTACCCTTATTCCCTTTCTAGTATAACAACAAAAATTGAAGCAAAACCAAACAAACGTTGGACTTTTGTCCTTCTTTTAACACATATATTATTTCTCTCTTTCACACATAATATCTAAAATATTTAATCATCTCTGAGATCTTATCTTAATTTAAAAGATTAATTATGTTGTTGTGCCTCTTTAAAATTCAAGGTATGTATTAGTGAACTCTTATTTATTTTTACTTTATTGTAAAAATGTAAAGATATTTTAGGTTATTTTCTATTTAAACTATAATATTTGACTGATATACTATAGATTATTGGTTGAATCTATTGACAATGTCGTTCGCACAAGTAAAAGACTCAGATAACAAGTACATAGTTAATCACGTAGTTCAAGCTATAATAGCAGTGTTTCTTAACTTTTTATGTTTGTACTTCTTAAAATAGGGCAGAAATGGGCCATTAAAAGATGTGGACAAGGAACTCTTCGCTTATTTCCCCGTCTGACCTATTCTGATATAGAAAATATAGAGTTAGGTGACACTACATGTCAAATATATTTATCCGACTTTGAGTCAACAGAGAATATTTATATTCTTCCTTGCACTCACTTGTACCACAGTGAGTGCATTTCAACTTGGATAGCATACCAAAATTCATAGAATAGAGAGTTGTACAATTATTAGGAACATCCTTTTTTTTCGTCTGCTATCAATTATTAGGAACATTGATATGTGGGATACGATGTGATATATCTTAAGATTAAGTTTGCGATAAAAATAATAATATTGTGTTTGGTTATTCACATAAATTTATATCACCAATCAAATGCAATAATAATATAATGTCTCATTATTGAAATTATGAGATATTAATTATAAATCTTGTTTTACTAGATTAGTAATTAAGAGTAAGATAGTTTTTATGTGCATGAAATGTGCAAGTATTGTACACAATTTTACTAAATAATGTACAATGTTTAGTGTATCGAAGGAATCGTCTACTGATGTGATCCAATCGTTGTTTGGAGTGACCTTAAAGGAAAGATTCGATAAACTTCACAAAGGGATTGCAACAGTTCATCAAGTATATTTCTAAAAATTGATAGCACTTTTGATATATGTAGTCAGTTTTTTTTTTTGACTTGTTTCCCTTTATAACTTTTTGAAATGCAACATAACATTCAAATTAAAGATATATATAGAACAAATAGGAACAATAAGCATCATAGAAAGAGTTTCCAACAGGAAAATAGCTTGAGCCCATCGGAGGTTCTGGTACACCTGGTGGACTATATACAACTTCTCCCCAATCAACATTCGTAGCAAAACTTTTCAAGTCAGTGAAGAGACTTTGTGGCCAGAAACCTACTCGTGTAAAGTGTTGTGACACTAAAACCCACCAATTTCTGGCGTCCTTTTTTAAAAAAGAAATAAAAAATTATCAATAACTATATTTATGTTATCTCCCAACTATAATTCCTATATTTGTATAAAATGTTTAAAGACTCTAAATAAGAAAAATAAAAACAATATAAAATGTAGCTGATCAATGTACATTCTCGCACCCCAAGGTTTCCCTCCACGTTGTGAAATAGT